TTATGCATAGTATCAATATTTTATATCAAGAAATTCATCTATTACATAAGAACCAAAGCTCTCTTATAAAAAATTTTGTTTATATTTTCCAAAAAAAAAAAAATCAAACAAAAAAGATCATGCCTAATGGAGCCAACACAGTGTATTAACAAAAGCCCGCCCCCAAAAATTTGCGTTTTATGTATTTAAAAATTAAACTTAAATGAAGTTTTGTGTATTTTTTTTTTTGAAAATAAAGTTTTGTGTATTTAATTGATGCAGTATACACATATATATGTTGGTATTTAGCAGCATTACTAGTGCTTGAGCATTCATCGCGGCATGCACGACGCACCCTATAAATAATTTGGTGGAATAATTTTGTTAAATGGAAAAATTGATTATGACTATTGATGATTATATTGAATAATGATGATGAGCAATGAATTTGATCAAACTTATAGCATAGTTAAAAAAGATAACACAATAAGATGACGAGTTCATTAAGTTTATTATTTCATTCGAAAAATAATTTGATTAATTTTAATGCGTCACTAAAATGGTTCTAATATTCGGATCCCATTGAGTATTGTTGTATCACCAAGCAGAGAAGGAAAAAAAATTAATGGTTGAAATAAAATGTAGGCTCAATTAGAAAGCATCAACAACTTAATTGCAAAAGTAAAGGTGACAGACACAAAATTGTAGTGTATTACAATTTTCAAGCTCTTTTTTTGTCCTAATTGACTTCGCCTGATGATTTTTACTTTGAAGCTTGTGCTAATCATTGGCTTTCAAATTGTAAGTGTTGGCATAAAATCATCAAATCAATGATAAATCAATTTTATAGTGTAAGAAATTATACACTGATGGTTTTTCCACTGCTGGTTTTTGTTAAGATTTGGAATAAATTGGATTTTTTCTAATGTGGAGTGTCATTGCTGTCACTACCAACCTTGTTGTCAGGAGAATTGCTTGAAGATGTGAGGTCATCAAACTTCCTAAGGACAAGAAGTTCGAGATGTATACGAAGTAACGGCTCATTGCTTAAAGAAGACGATGTCAACATTTGTAGCAGCTAGTTGTCCATTGTTTGGCTAGTTAACAGCATACAAGGTTCTTCCATTTCAGTCTAGTTCTAATATGTGCATTTTGCTCAGAACAGATCACGGATTGCTTCAACTTCAACCTGCACAGTTTCATAAATCATTTAATAGCTGCTTGTAGGGGAAAATATATACAAAATATACCTTCAAAAAAATAAAACTACTAATTTCCAACTTATAGGGGAGAGTACGTACAAATTATACCTTCAAAAAAAAAATCAATTTCTGAATTGTCCGTAAAGCGCCATAATGCTTTACAACTTGCAACCCGTATTCAACAGAAACCATGTTATCTCTACAGTGAAATATTTCATTTAGATAAAAATCAGAAATAAATATGTGCATAGCATATGTGAATCATAGATAATATGCGTAAAACACATGTCAATGATACAGTGCATGAACAAACACATTCCAAAAGGATTAGACCCCAAAATCCAAAGGGCAAACACATGTGACTCAGTTACAGATCTGTAAAAGGGAAAAGAATTTTTTTTTTTTAAAAAAAAACAAACTAAACACAATCTCTCTAAACTATAGCTCATTCACAGCTCGGTATAGGGGAAATAAAACGAGGGAAAAAAAACAAATTGAACAGAAGTCAACAGCTCTGTGGAAAAGTAACGAGGGCAATACTTTCAAAGCAAAGCTGAAGCTTGTAATATATGGAGGAAACACAAAACCAAAAAAAGGGAACTGAAGCAGAACTGAAGGTCATTAGCTAACCTGAATTATGAAGCTTTGCGACAATTTTTAACAGTAGAGAAGGCCCAAATGTCCCAACAATCACGTGACGTATGACTATCACACGATATATAATTGTGGCCTACCCTTCTCCTTACTCTAATACTAACAGAATTTCAATTGAGAGAAAGAAGCTATCAACACTGGAAAAAATGGAAAGAAGAACCCATAAGCCATGCATTATTACCAAAGTAAAGCCAAAGCCATTACCAAAGAATGCAGCTTTAACAAAAAAGTGAAGCATATCTAAATTAACAAATCAATACTGGTCATCAAAATAAAGATTTCAGCTCAGCATTCCCGATAACACAAAAGAATACTACTTCTTGATGTTTTCAGTGAAAGACAGAGAATGAAAGAGGTTTGAAGGTATGCTATTTCATTGAGAGAATTGAAAGAAAAAAAAAATTATCTTAAAAATTATAATTAGCCACAATGTGCAAATCTAGAGTGAGCTCCGAAAATAAAATGTCCTCAGCCTATTAAAGCGGGAAAAAAGTAACTGACTAATTAAATCTTCCACAGGTTGCAAGATGTACTTTGTTGGCACATGACAGCCTGTGACTTGTAAACTTCTAAAGCTACTCACAGTAATCTTTAGTACATTAATTTGATGTTCTCAAAATCAAGTGGAATTCAAGTTCAAAACTCAAAACTGAACCTAATAAAATAAGTAGTAGGCTTAAACAGCAGTTCATTATGCATCAAAGAATTCATAAATCAGCAGGATAATCAATTAGTACCACAACCATTTGATGTATGTGCCAAGTATTAAGACAATAAGAAATTACCAGGATAGATTTGAACAAAGAGAACTCCACTGACGGCGAACAACAGCTTTTCTGATGAATTAATGGAATTCTCAAACAAATTTATGTCTACTTAAAAATTGCCTCATGTAGTTGTCCTAGTAGTGTGCAGACATTCAAGTTAACTTTGATCTGCTACAACATGCCTTTCACGGTGGAACAGAACTCATCATCCTTTACAAAGCGACCAAATTGATGATTTTTCATTAGTTCTCCCTGGTTGCCCTAAATGGTGTGTGGGTACACCATATATAATTGAATACATTATGGAGTGTGAGTACACCATAATGGAGAAAAAAAATACATTGCTTTCAGCAACACAGACAACTTCTAGCCAACTGGAAAGTAAAGTCCCATATATAATTGAATGCAAGGCAGTTCAGCGACAACTACAAATAAATAGAACTGTATTTTTTCTTGTTTGGGCTGCAAATTAAACAGCAGCATAAAGAATTCACAATGAAATGAAGTTTGTAAGAATAAGTAGATATATTAAGCAACAATAGAATCATGGCCCACGTCAATAAGCAAAGAATTAGATATAAAATTAAACTACTACATCAGGTTTTTTCTGCATTGAAAAACACAAAGATATTCAAAAACACTTCTAATTTTATGCATCAGGTGTACCAACTAATAACTACAAAGATAAAAACTTGAACCAAGAAAATCAAAAGCAAACTGAAGGAGCAACAAAAATAATAAATGAAGTTGAAATGTGCAGAGCAGCAAGATCCAAATTAAACAATTTATAAAGCTTCTTCTTTGCTCAGCAGCAACAACTACACCAAAATCAGATCAATGATGAATATAGCATGATAAACATTCCCTGATCGACATCATCTTCTACAGTTCTACTTGTTGTTCCAAATAAATATGATAAACAAACTTCCATATTTTACAAAGAATGAAACTGCAAGCTTACATTATAACTTTTGGCCCATTACTCTACTCTGATTAGTGTACATTATAACTTCTGTTCAATTTACATGTACGCACAAAAACACTAAATAAAATCTACACCAGAAAATGCACTGTATAACAGAAGAAAAAATCACATACAGTAGACGCCAATGTGGAACCAAAGAGTTCACTAATGGCTTCTACTGCATACAAGCCAACACTCCTCATTCAAGTGAACCAACTTCACCATAAGCAAGCTGTTGTTCTTGCAGATACAAAATATTCGGCTCCAGTGAATCCAGAACCTTCCAAAACTCTTGTGCGCTAGGATTGTTCAAAACTCAGTAAAAGTAGAACTTCAAACTACAATAATATCAGAAAAAACCTTCGATACAACCAGATAAATGGTCTGCTTGAAAGACAAATAAAAATAGAAAATTAGTGTTTACCTCAAAAAGAAAAAAGAGAGAAGAAAATTAGTACATATCCTGTTAAATCTTTCAAAACAAAAGAACTAAGAGGTAGAGAATTCCAAAAACAGCATCTACCGGCAAACCCTTATGTCCAAAATTTAAGTTTTACATTCAGAACCGCAGTAAATTGAAAGAAAGAGTACCAAAAGTTTTGGAAAGCATTTTGAGGGCTTAATCTCCAAAGATAACCGATTACAACTAAGAAAGGTAAAACCAAGCAAATTAATATTTGAATACTAACAAAAATCTGGTTCAGCTTTCACCGTTGCTTATCAAAATCTTACCACCAAATCTCATGAAAGCATATATCCTTATTTGTTCACAGACAAGCAGCTGAGTTAATCAAGAATCTCAAGATCATAAAACACCAAGACAACCCATCGGAAATTAATGAAGTAAAAGCATAAAACCAAAATTAAGCATAAGAATGTTGTCACCGTCATGACCATTACCATCCCCAATTAAAAATCTGCATCCACGTTAGCACAAGTACCTTCAGGAACCAAAGAGCTGAGTTTTTACACCTTGGAATTCACAATCGCTGGCAATTTCACCTAACAAAAGTGCGGTTGAGCGCGAGAAAAACAAAGCAATCATCAACGACTTGGATAACTTAATAATTGTAGGATTTCAAAAATTAAGAAGGCAATCGGTCAGCACCTTATTACCCGATGGAGGCCGAAGAAATTTGTAAGAAACAGAGAAACTAAAATAGAAATCAAATCCGGATTGACACTGGGGAGGTGAAATCGGGAAGAAGTAGGTTAATCAGAACCTCAAGCGACGCGTTTGAGTTTTTGTATCGTGTTTTTTAATATCTCATCGAATCCAAATAGTTTTTGTATCGTGTTTTTTGGCAGTCAATTGAAATCCGAATCCGAGCTTAACCCGGAAAAGGTATAATGCTTTGACCAATATAAAAGCAGGGGAGGCACCAGGGAAAATCATCATCCTCTCCATCAGCCTCAAGCTCAGAATCAAAATCTATGGCTAGAAGAAGAACCCTAATTCCGCACACCCATCGTCACCCGAAATCCCGACTTTCCTCCTCCCAGAGTCCATTACTTCCGGGTCCTCCGCCTTCGGATTTCAGCCCCGACGAAGCTCTGTATAGAACCCTGAAAAAACCACGCCTCACCTACGAGAACGGCTCCGAAACATCGTCGGTTTCGGCCGATTTCATAGCCGAGAGCGGAGACCTCTTGACCCAAATCTTTGTACACTTACCTCCAAAGTCCCTCTTCCGGTTCCAAGCCGTGTCTAAGCTATGGCGTTCAACCTTAAGGAGCCCGTCTTTCCTGCGTCTCCGTACGAGGAATGTCGGTGCTCAGTTTTTGTTCCACCGGAGTTACGACGGATCAGAAGAAACGCATGCTCTCGATCTCAACTTTATTTCACTTGACAAAGCGTACGTAGATACGATGAGTGATGTTGTTTCGGACATGCGAAATATCTTCGATTTCAATCAAGTTGTGGGATTTCACTCGTGCAATGGGTTACTGGCAATCGCGTTAAAATCTGGTTGTGATCAAACAATTGATTTTTACGTGTATAACCCGACTACTCGTTCGTGCAGGCTTATACCACGTCGTTATGTTCACAATATTTATTACCCGCAACTCAAGCCAGAGAATATTTTCCCTCAAACTCCTCGGCGTTTTATAGCTTTATATATTGCATTTGATCCTTTACAATCTGAGCACTACAAGTTACTATATCTTTGGCATGAAGGAAGTTGGGTTACATGCTCGAGTTATGCTTCTGATACTCAGATTTGGAGGGATTGTGAGTGGGTGTTTGATGACGAAGATGCAGAAGTAGAACCTGATTTGAAGAAGGGTGTACTTTGGAATGGAGATTTCTTTTGGGTTGATCCACATGGGTACACTTATTGCTTTGATTTTAAAAGTGGGAGTATGAAGACAATAACTGCCTTGCCTCCAAACGCCCTTACCGGACATACTGGAGAAGAAGAAGAGCATTTTTCTTGGCCTGAAATCTTCTATTTTGGTGTTTCGGGTGGCGATTTATGTCTTATCGGGCTAACGGACCCTCACGCAATGCTATTTGAAGTGCACAAGATGGAGTTGGACTATTCGAGATGGAATTTCAATGGTCGGTTTGACCTTTCTCCTTTGCGTGCTCTTTGTCCATCAATGTTTGTTGAAGAGAATTTTCATGTACTTGATTGCCTTGTGGACGAGAAGCAGAACTTACCTGCCGAGTTGATGATCTCATCTCCTGGTAAAATCGTTTCCTATAATTTGCAGGACAAAGAGATTGCTGATGTAGTTATGGAGGATCCTCATGTTTCGCCAAAGAAGATGTCCATATTTCGCTGGGGTGAAGCGTTCCAATACGTCGAGACTTTTGTTCCTGTTTAGTTCATCTGCATTCTATCATCTTCGTGGGGTCTAATTAACTCATTGTAAACAACTGTCCATATATATTGTATTTTTTCAGATTTATATTGTTCTTAATACAAATTTTCTGTTTTAAATAAAACTATCTCAAAATTTAGCATGGACTATTTTTTTTTGGTACTCCCGTGTGTATTTTATTTAGCTGAAGATTCGTAAAAGGTGGGTTTATGGATGTTGCTCCAAAGCTTTTTGTCAAAAACTCGCTTTTGGCCAGGCTAATTTCTTATTGTCGAGACCAATGTTAATGATATCGAGCGTTTGCGACACTCTAGTCCGCCTTTTAGAGTACAAAAAGAGTACTTTTTTGGTGGGAGATGTTTTCCAAACGAATGTTGAACATATATGCTACTCGTACAAAAGTAGTTCGCCTTATAAACTTTGAATTTTACACAATACAATACTATTACTAATTTACAATGTAGATATATTTGTGGGACACAAGAAATAATAATTATTACAAGAAAAAAAAATTAAATATGAACAATATCATATTTCAACCATGGTCGAACACTCAATAAAAATGATCATCATACGAGTATAAATGTAATAAGACTCCAAATCCTTGCAATGTTATTGATGCTTGATAATTCGCCAGAAGCTGTGCTGTCCAAACACGTGGCCGATTGTTGCAATTTACATATTCTCCGGTATTTTTTGAAACAGACATATTCTCCGGTAGATCTCAACCCTTTAACTATTCCCCTTTTCAATTCTTTTTCTTTTTTCTCTTTATGGTTGCTATATAAAAGTATGATTGTGTTCTATGTTCACTGTTTATGTATATTTGTCCTTTTCTTTCTGTAGAGTTGGATATATTCTTTGTATTTATTAAAAGTTGTCAAGAAAATTTAATGACAACTCCGTCATTAAATTGAAAATAAGTTCTTTGTATGTTCTTTGTATTAAAAGTTCTTTGTATTATATTCTTTGTATGTTCTTCTAATTGAAAATAAGAGTTCAAAATTGTATTTTCACATTTATTGTGATTTGTCACTTTTTATATAACATTTTTTAAGGTTTTTAATTAAAAGAACATACAGAATAAAGTTAATGATAAATCAAAATGTCTTATAAGGACCGGAGGGGTACGTTATAATCCAAAGAATGATTATGCATACAAAGTATCTGCTGAGCCGTTCAATTGGAACAGTGATGTGGTATGTTCAGGTATAGTTTCGCCTGACCCTTACTTTTTGCGGCGCTTCCATTTATAATAATTATTATAGAAACTTGCCTCGTTTGAAGCTTAATTTGTTATTTGAGCCACTTCTCTAATATTATCGTGCACTAAATTAGTGGACAGGAGACATCATGCACTGATATAGAATATTAGATTTTGTTTACCTACAATTCTGAGTTTGTACATGTAGTCTTTTTCCCATCTCCAAAAAAGGTCTTTTGGTTGTATAGAGCGATCGAGTTAATATGATGGTTCTATTTGTTGCATTTTCATTCAAATGTTACATTTCCTGGATACCATTAGCGTGTCAAGCTTCAACTTGATTCGTTTATAATCAACATTTCACGTGAGTGACCTCAAAGAACAATTTTGGGACGCTGATCATAGAATTCTCATAAATGAATACTTGAAATTCAAAATCAAAAGGATATATGTTTCAATGCTATACATCAGAATAGGAGGTTACCGATGCAAAAAGTGTGGATAAAACACAACTCAACGCTCCTAGTCTCTTACGTATATCTCTGAACTCTGTCTCAAACTATATTAAGAAAAAAATACTCAATGCGTAACATGGTGATGCAGGCAGGGAAATGTCTTAGCATCGACATTTCCACTCTTCAAATGTCCAGACGACTATAAAATAATTCGAGATTTAAGAAATTTTTCATCTTCCATTTCCTATATTGATTCCCTTGAAGGCTTGAAGCAATTTTCTCGAAACTTTAGAACCTCTAATATTATAGGTAGAAAACCTGTACATTTCATGACAATAAATAGCTTAAACAACTCCTTTTTACAATGAACTAGTTCTAAGAATGGGAAAAAATGGTTAGTTATTTATCTTTATTATTACTACCTGATTGATTTGTTGACTAGAAAAATGTATGTTTTTTTCCTCTATCCAAAAAAAATAGTCCATATTGAGTTTTTGAAATTTGTTTTAATTGACGGATTTAAAAAATTAATGTGGACCAATTTTTTCGGACAGAGCGGGTACTACTATTTTTTCCTAGGGCAGTGTTGTCAAGTATTTTCCCTTTGATTAGCGTTCTAAAAAGGGTAGCATGCATGTCGTATGTCAATAATTCTATATCCATCCAACATCTACTTTTGTCACTGCTCTACATTACATTGGAATATTCAACTTGACGTAAAATTAACGTTAGAAATCACCGCCGAATGCCAATCAGAATCCCATATAACCGTGTATAAAATCATTGTAAGATAAACGTTAGAAATCATTGCTAAATCACCGGATCCTCTCTGTGCCAGGCTTGGCCGATAAAACTACTTCAAGTCAAGTAAGGAAACAGCTAGTTTCTAACCATGACTTCTACTTGTTTCTTCTGATTATGACCCTCATCCCTTCCAAGTTACATTTATTGCAGTAAATAACGCAATAAACTAAATATTTAATTTTATGAAAATTTTTTGTCACTGCGAATATAAAGGGCTTTAAAAGATAGATTCGGTCGAGAAATTAAAAAAGAAAAAGAAAATTTAGATTTGATTTGCATGAATGCTATATTGGTTGTGGACATTAGGCGCAATCAGTTGCAAAACTACGAAGGAATGATTGTCTAATTTAAAATATTTACAAAGAAAAAAAATTCTTAAAATTTTAGATGAAATTGGTTTTATATAACTATCGAGGGTAAATCCCGGGGGCTGAGAGTCAACGGTTCGACCTAGACGGGAACCTACAAAACGGAGGTTAGCACTCCGAAGATCAAGTCAGTTCTAGGGAGAGAAGCAGGCAATTATCACACTTAGGGAGAGAAACGGGAGTGTGGAATCGAACTAGCAATAAATGAGCAAGGAGTATTTATAGGTCCCAATGGGACAATAGCTGTGAGCCACCGTGTTGGGAGGGGAAAAAACGGAAATAAACAAGGGTTTATTTCTTACAACCCGGATGGGCTTTTAGGAAGGAATGAATGGGCTGCTTGGGCTTAAAAGAAAAGCCCACGCAGGATGGTTGATTGGGCCGGTCAGAGTGGGTCAGGGTTGACCCCCAACAAGTGCCCCTCTCAAGCCCATTGCAGCAAAGTTGGATTGGGCTTGACACAAAGAAACGATAGGCCCAACAAACCGGCCCAGCTTCTGGAATATTCCATCTCATGATCGCCCTAGATCCAACGGCCTTGGGTTCTTCCCGCCTAAACGAGATGGACGCGTAGGATTTCATGGGAGGCCGCACCGCAATGATGGCACCGGATGGAAATGGAGGGGACTGTTCACCTTCTTTGGAGTATATAACCCCCCACAGGACACCGGATTTCATTTCTTTTTCTCCCTTTTGCTTTCAAGTGTCAAATAAACTGAGCTCCGACTTCTTCTCTTCTATTCACTCCTTCTTTCGCAACTCAGAGCATATTACCGTTCGGAAATCGGAATCACAGCCGGTAACTAACCGTAGCAGCTTCTAATCGACCCTTAACGAGTAAGTCTCCCTCTTCTCTTGTACGTTCTGTTTACAACATGGCCAAAGAGGTAGTTAGGGTAGAGGATGTTGAGTGTTCGTTAAACCCAGATAGGTTAAGTGATTTAGAAAATCACTATAGCCTTACGGCTATCAACCCCGTCTTAGCGGAAGGTCATGAGAGAGCCAACACTCCTCCGGGAAAAATCATGATTTATGAGAAGTTTTTGGAAGACGGGCTGCACTTTCCCCTGATGCCCATGTTCAGGATGATAGTGGAAGCCTACGGCCGACCATTAGCCCAATACAACCCGAACCTTATAACCATAGTGCTAGCCTTCGTACACGTATGTAACAAGACGGGGGTAGAGCCAGACGTCTTCTTATTTAGATGTTTTTACAAACTCGTCCGATGCGGAAAAAGTTTCCCCGGATGGTTCAGCTTCACCAAAAATCCACACGGGCCTTCCAAAGAATTAGTAGCGAAGAACGAGAGTTCCAAGCATTGGAGGTCGGGCTTCTTTTACGTGGACACGGACTTTGTCTCCCTCTTTCCGTGGACGCCGGACGAGGGAGGAACGATCAGCTTAGATCCGTGGACCAAGAAGGATAAGAAAGACATGGAAGCCCGGAGGAGATACTTAGAGAAATTGGTCAGGTGGAAGAAGACCTACGCCTATAGGAAAATCGCGTCATTAAGCGATACGATCAGCTCTCGTAACCAAGGTATTTTACCCGAAGACTAACTTCGGTTATTTTTCTGTTGATAGGTATATTTGCTAATCTGATGGGTAAACGTTCGGCTTTTGATGATTCAGAAGAGGAGGAGCAGTATCCCGAGGAGAGGCCACAAGGAATTCCCCAACCGGAGATGGGACAAGCACCCCCCAGTCAGATGACGAGGGTGCGTGCCGAAAGTTCGAGGAAGAGGAACCCCTCGGGCCAAACTTCAGGTCATCAAAAAAGGAAGCGGGGAGATCCTGAGGTAGTGGAGGTCGATCCGTTGTCCTTCAGCTTACCCGCGATCCACGGATTATCCTCCATTGTCAAACTTCTGAAGGAGGGGTACGAGGATCAAGGACGTGGAGCAGGCCAGTTTGAGGGCGTACCCGAGGGTCACGCTCTCTGACGTTCGACCCTCCACGGGTCGAATGCACAGACTTGCCCGCTGCCGGGGTGCCGAGACGGGAGGACGGCATGAGACAGGTAAAAATTGTTGCTTTTTCTTCTTCCTAAGTACCTGGGTTCCCTTTCTAATCAAGGACATCTATGTCATACAGGCTGTGCAGGCGATGAACTCCTTCGTGACCGTGTGCGCGGACTTGGAGGGGCAGCTGGCTTCGGCCAGGAGGAAGGCCACAAGCGAGGCCAACAGAGCTAGAGAGGCGGAGACGCGGCTCTAGGCCTTGGAAGAGGAGAGGGGACGCCTGGAGGAGGACGTCACAAGGATGAAGGGGCAGCTCGAAGGCATAGAACTGATCCACAGTCTTCAAATGGAGAGTCTGCAGGCAACAAGCGTCCCTAAATCTCGTCTGGACGCGTACATTCTCGTGGGAGTCCAGAGGTACCTGGGGTCATCCGAGTTCGCCCTCGGGATAAATGACGTCATGGACCCCGCCATAGAAACGGGGGCGAGGAAGGACAGTATGGAGATCGAGGCGGCCCGGAGGAAGAACGAGGACATCCAACTCATCCTCGACAAATATGCTGATAGAGAAATGAAGGGGAAGACGTCCGCGGTAAGGCTGCGGTGCAAGGCCCGAAAGCACTTTCGGAATATGGACTTCGCGCATCTCCCCATCATGCAACAGATTGTCGGGACTTGCCTCTCCGTCTCGAAGCCCAAAGACATTCTAAATATCCTTGGCAGCCCATCGTTCGTCTTCTAGATGCCAAGGGGGACACAGACGCCTCCGAGCACGCCGCCGAGGCTTGATGAGGAGCCGGAGGTAGTCGCACCTGCACCTCCACCCCAAGGGCACAACTCTGGAAGCCGCGGAGGAGGGGGAACCTCGACCGACTCCAACACCAACAGCGGAGACAAGGTGAACGATGCGTAGGGTTATGATTCCTCCTAGTGATCACCTGTCTTCGGGGCTCTCTCCGTTGTATTTATGAATTTTAACCGAGTATTAATGAAATTCTATTTTATTCACGGCTGATTCATTATTCCCTAATTTCCTTACTTGTTTCAAACTTGTTCGTTTATCAATTACAACTATATTCGTTTATTTATCAATCATAATCATAATTATGTTCTTTTATCAAGTATTTGTTCATCGGCTCAAACTTATTTTTACCTCTAGGGATACGCGCCTCCTAACCTTTCCATTAACACGCGCTTCCTTACAGGGGAAGGACGCAGCTTTGGACTTCCCCCCTCAGCCCGAGGGAACCTCTCGAGGCGTGCCCGTGACTCCGGGTCATTGGAAAACGTCCGGGATTCCCTGGATCGACTTACAATTGCCCGATCCTCATCATGACCCGACGACCTTTCCACTGTATGCGGCTGTAGGAAGCGCCTTGGTGGATCCGAATGTCGACAGGAGCCGAGGACGACTGTCGGGTCTCGAGGGCCTGCTAGAAGAGGGCTTGGAAACTTTCAGGATCTCGGACCTGCACGAGGCACGCAGGGCCGTCATCGAGGCGAAAGCCGAAAACGACTGGCTGGATAAGTTATGGAGGGACACGGAGGCCTATTGGGAGAACCACCTGAAGAACTCTATACAGTTAGAGATATTGGCTAACAATCGCCTTCAAACCTTCGAAGCCAAGATAAGGAAGAAAAAGAAGGACGAGGGCTTAGCCGAACCCGACCCGGAGGATTTTATTCTCCGCAACTATTTCGAGAGTGTCTTGGTACATCTCCGGAAGGCTTACGCCTTGGTTGCTGTGAAGTGGGATCGGTCCTCTAACAAGATCGAGGCTCTTCGGGCGTATGCTGGTCAGCTTCGAATAGCTTTGGAAAGCGCTATATCCTTCATTGTAGAGACGGGGAAGGAATATAATTTTGAGACGTTGTGGCCGGAGCCCTGTCCGGCCATACGGGACGACCCCGCTTCTCCAACTCGCGAAGCCGAACGCCTAATATACGAGAACGACGCTCTATTTTATGAATTGGGTCGAGGGTCTCACTAGGGACATGTAATTAGGTGAGGTGATTTTTGGTTAGGTTGTTAGGTGATTTTGGTGTGTTTTTGCAAAGTGTATAGATCCGAGGGCCAAACCTTCGAAAGTACACACATATTCACTCATATATAATTAATTCGTCCCTTGTTGAACATCGACTTGTTTTTGCTTTTTCTCATTTACTTGTTTTATTATTATTCATGCTTTTACGGTTGTATATGTAAAATTCTGTTTATTGCCGACGCTCTTTGCTAATTTCTGACGGAGGTGACATGAGTACCTTCCCCCGGATTTTACATTTCAACTGTATTACTAATGTTGCACTAATTTAGTCGATGTTTAGTTAAACTGTACCTGAACAAGGATGGCTGGAACATTAGGAATTCCTTTGCCATAAGCCACGGAGGCCACACGGTGCCGTCGGCCACTGGGGTCGAGACGGCTTCATAAATGCCCCAAGGTCACGGAGACCGTAGGGGTTCCGTAGGCCGCGGAGGCCACACGGTGCCGTCGGCCACTGGGGTCGAGACGGCTTTGTAAATGCCCCAAGGTCACAGAGACCGTAGGGGTTTCGTAGGCCGCTGAGGCCACACGGTGACGCCGGCCACTGGGGTCGAGACGGCTTCATAAATGTCCTATGGTCACGAAGACCGTAGGGGTTCTGTAGGCCGCGGAGGCCACATGGTGCCATCGGCCACGGGGGTCGAGACGACTTTGTAAATGTCCCAAGGTCATGGAGACCGTAGGGGTTCCGTAGGACGCGGAGGCCACACGGTTTCAGGAAGGATGGGATTCGTACGAAGGCACAGGAAGTAGTATATTAACAGCAAAAGTGCCGGAGTTCTGCTTGGCTAATATCTATTACAAAAGTAGGCAGAAGCCTTCAGATATTGAACTTCCTGAGATTCTGGATATTCCACCATCGGGGGATGTCGCGGGGCTCGTCATCACACGTGCGCAGGCGATAACTCCCCGAGGGAGAAACTTCCACAACCTTGTATGGTACTTCCCAATTCGGAGCTAACTTCCCGGTCGGTTCAGCGTGGCTCACCTCGTTTCATCGGAGGACCAGGTCTTCGACTTTAAAGTTCCGAGCCCGGACCTTGGCATTGTAGTACTTGGCCATGATCTGCTTGTATTTGGCTTCGCGGGCTTTGGCCAGGTCTCGTCTTTCGTCCAGGAAATCGAGGCAAAGGCAGATTTCATCTTCGTTCATTTGCTCTGCGAAGTTGACCACCCGGGGACTGGGCACCTCTATTTCAGCTGGGAGAACGGCTTCCATGCCATAAACGAGGCTAAAAGGGGTTGCCCCCGTGGCCGTCCTCATAGTGGTGCGGATGGCCCAGAGGACGTGGGCCAACTCCTCAGGCCATAGCCCTTCAGCTCTCTTAAGCCGTGTCTTCATGCCTTGTAAGATGGCCTTGTTTATATTTTCAGCCAACCCGTTGGCCTGCGGATGGGCCACGGACGAAAACCGCTGTTCGATCCCGAACTGCTCACACCAAGATTTAAAAATTCTTGATTCAAACTGAGTCCCATTATCTGAGATAAAGACTTTCGGGATCCTGAACCGGCAGACAATGTTCTTCCAGAAGAATTTGGCAACGTTTGCCCCTATGGTAGAGGCCAGAGGTTCCGCTTCGACCCATTTAGAAAAGTAGTCAATTGCGACGATCACGAACTTGAGCTTACCCGGGATTAATGGGAAAGGCCCTATTATGTCCGTTCCCCTCTTGTAGAAAGGCCACGGGCTACCAATTGGGACCATCTCATGTGGGGGTAGACGCAGAATAGCGGCATGTTTTTGGCATTGCGCGCACCGAAGGATGACGTTGTAGCAATCTTGGGACAAGGTAGGCAAGCAGTACCCGGCGCGGATCAGTTTCTTGGCCAGATTACGTGAACCTAAGTGAGCCCCACAAGCGCCTTCATGCATGCTTCTGATCAACGTCTCAGCCTCCCGCGGCCGGACACAGCGCAACAAGGGTGATAGGTACTCTCACTTGTAGAGGATGCCATCCCTCATCACGTATTTAGGCGCCTTGAGCCGAATCTCCCGAGCCTCTCCTGGGTCCGCAGGTAACACCCCGGTCTGGAGGGACTAGACAAAGGGTGTCATCCAGGATACCTCGTCCATCGTCATAGGCAAGACTTCATCGTCCAAGATACTCGGTCGTGTCCGGACTTCCATGTGAATTTGCTGGGCTAGGTGCACAGCAGGGGAAGAAGCTAACTTGCTCAGGGCGTCGGCCCTCTTGTTTTGCGACCCCGGTATATACCGAATATGGAAAACACGGAAGCCAAGTTCCAACACCCTGACTTTCTGAAGATACTTTTGGAGTACCACCTTTTGAACCTCGTACAGCCGAAGAACGTGGTTGACGACGACCAGCGAATACTGCAAACTGAGATTTTCTGAACACCGAGCGCGTAGGCGATAGATAGTCCCGCGATCAGTGCTTCATATTCAGCCTCATTATTTGTGGCAGGAAAAACGATGCCCACGCCCGAAACCTTCTTTAGAGGAAGACCCGTTGACGAATAAAGCCCACAGTTGCTGCCCGGCAGGGGAAAATTCTTCAGGAGCTTGACAACATTCTTCAGGCCGATTTTTCTACATCATCCTCGTGCATAAGGATCTGGTGATACCCTTTATACGCGTCCAGAAAGCTGAGCACCGGGTATCCTGAGATAGCATCGACCTTCTGCTCGATTGCCAGAAGAGGGTAGCAATCCTTAGGACAATGTTTATTGAGATCCTTACAATCCACACACATACGCCAAGAGAATTCGGGCTTCTTGACCATCACCAGATTGCCCAACCATGTGGGATGGAAGATCTCCTTGAGGATGGACACGGCTAACAGCTTAGTAACCTCCACATCAATAGCGGCATTGCGCTGGGGAGCCATCTTCCGGCTCTTCTGCTGTATGGGCCGCGCGCTAGGGTCAACATTCATTTTGTGCACGCCCAATTCGGGGGGAATCCCCGTCATGTCACTTGGACTCCAAGCGAAGACATCTTTGAACTGCTTCAACAATTCAACCACCATGTCCCGAAAACTTGGAGGCAAAACTGCACCTAAGCTGACGACCCTTCCCTCTACAAAAGGATTCAGGGCCACGTCTGTAACCTCGTCATCCGCGGGACCAGAGTTGTCGTTTCCTTGGTCTTCGTCTTCAGAGACCGGGGCCTCCTGGACGGACCCGACTCCCCTGAAGGATGTCACGTCCCTTTTTTGCGGCGATAACCATGCACTGTCGCACCAATTGCCGGTCTCCCCGAACTTCTGCAATCCCAGCCTCGGTCGGGAACTTCATGACCAAATGGTATGGCGAGTAAATGGCCTTCGCCTGACTCATCTAGGGCCATCCCAGAATGATATTGAAAGGGGCCATGACGTCTACCACTGCAAAGTCGACGAGAATTACCCGATCCTTAGGATAAGTCCCTACGGTAACAACCAAACTGATTATGCCTAACGACATTATCACGTGGTTAGAAAAGTCGACCAGAGGTATGGATGCGGGGCGGAGCTGAGTCTTGTCAAGGCCCAACTTCTGGAAACAATCACCGTACATGACATCCACTGCACTGCCATTATCAACATATACTCGTCGAACTTCCCTGTTGGCGACTATGGCCGTGATGACCAGTGCGTCGGAGTAATCTTCAGATCCACCCACCAAATCCTACTCTGAGAAGGATATCACCTCCCCGGGACGGAGGCGTTTAGCCTCGGACTCATCCGGCGGTCGGGGCCGCGAACTCCTGCGGAGAGCGCCAACACTCTGGACCCCCAAGGGTGCCCCGAAGATAGCACCCACAGGAGCAGCCAAGATCTGCCGTGCCTGCACCGGATCAACACCATCCTGGGCTTTGGCCCCGTCCCCGATGGGGGCCTGGTTGGCAGTCTTAGCCTTGTTTTTCTTCCATCTCCGGTTCTTGGGTTAGCCTGGCGCTTTCTCTTGGGACCCCTTCTGGATACAATCCTGGAATTTACCCGCCTTAAGGCCCTCCTCAATCTCCTTCTTCAGCCTGTAGCAATCCTCGGTATCATGCCCCTTGCTTCCGTAAAAGTCACACCATTCCGATGAGGATTCATTGTGAGACTGGCCCGGGGGTGGAAGCTTGAACTCACTCTTGTGAATTTGAAGAATCTCCTTTCTAGTTTTAGTGAGGACGGGTACTTTGGACTCGAACATCGGAGATCCGATGTTGAGTTTCTTCGCCTCCGGCTTCCCTATTTTCTTCTCGCCTTCGGCAAAAGCTTCTCTAGCCCGCTTCATGGACTCGTCTGTCCGGATCTCCTTTTCGACTATTTACCACAACCTCTGGGTAGTGCTCGGGGGCTTAGCCGTGAGCTTACTCCTCAGGGCAGCGCCCGCACCAAAGGGAGAGAGGCCGTTTACGAACTCGACCCTCACCACCAAATCCTCGACCTGGTCTATCATCATGAGTTCCTTCGTGAACCTCTCGTAGTATTCCCCTAGAGACTCGTTCTGACGCTGGCGAACCGAAGACAAGTCATGGAGGGTGCGCTGGGCTCTTTTGCTGGAAAAGAATCGGACCTGGAGCTTTCGCCCAAAGTCCGCGTAAGAAGTAATGCTCCCCGGGGGAAGGCTATCGAACCATATCTTAGCGGCCCCTGTTAGGAAGGTGGGCATCGCTTTAGCGGAGAACTCCCGGGGTGAGTCTCACAAATCCATTGCCGCGGTGTAATCGGCCAAGAAGCTAACTAGACAGGTATCACCCCCGTACTTCTGGATGTCCGTTGGTAGTTTCAGGTTTACAGGCCGCGGACAACTCCGGATATGCTCGGCAAAAGGACTTCCCAGCGTCTCCCTACTGTTGAGTATAGCCTCGAGCCGGGGGTCTGACACACCCTCGTGGTCCACCCGCGGCTCGGGTCTTTATGGGGTTTTAGGGTCGCGTTCTGGATCGATCTCGACCCCGAGAGACCCTTCGTTCCCCCATGAACATGAGGCTGTCGTCTGGACCTTCGCAT